TATATCTGACTCTTCGACTCTAATCCCTTATTGTTCAAGTCGACTGAACGCTTTGTTCGTTCGCGTGTTGTGTGGCATGAACAGAAATTCTGTAAGCGAGAAACTCTGGTCTGCCTGCCTTCTGTATGCTTGGGAAGAATAATTGTTCTACAAACACGACCGGTCACAAAGGAAAGACAAATAAAGAAAAGTGGATGCAAATACGAGCCCGCGAACTAAAGTGAACTGGCAGAAACTCATGGCTAATGTTATTGAAATAGGATGTGTATGTAATTTAAAGTTAAGCACGTGATACATTGTAAATGCTGGCTCAAATGTCACGTCCAAATTTCACAGACATTCGTGATAGAATTGATTTGTGTTTTGTTTACAAATTTACTTCCTTAAATTTCGATTAAGACGATAAATAATCCGTAGTATTATTTACGTAAATGTTATTTAAAACCTTATTGTTTGTTTTTTACATAATCCTACTTTTATTTTATTAATTTATTTTAAAATATGTTTACGTGTTAATTGTTTTAATTATTTCTCTTTGCAAGGCTATATAACTTTCTTCAACAAGCAATTAATTTATTTATTATTTATTTTAGTTATATATTTTTTTAATATTTTCCGTCAAATCACAATTTTAATAAGATAATAAAATATCTGATAAGAACATTTTCAACAAACTGCATAAAATTGTAAATGATTGTAATTCGAGTTTTAAATTTTACCAATCTAATTTATACCTGAGGACGGTTAAATATAACCGAAACATGTCGTAAGAGAAACGTTCCAATTTGTAAATCGATCATTCGATGCGGAACGTGAAATAATATTTTAAATATTTTATTATCTTATTAAAATTGTCATTTGACGGAAAATATTAAAATATTAACCTAATTCACAATATGACGCAAATATACTACCTTATTTTAGTTATGTTTCACCTCCATTTTACTTTTCAATTTTATTTACGAACTTAGTTTTCAATTTTTTAGATGTTCATAAATTTTGGAGTTTGTGTATATAGTTACGTGATTTTAATGATTTTATTCAGTAAAATGTCTAGCCTACTTGACTGTACAGGAAATGTTAGTGAAATGGCATAAATCTGGTACTTATATACGAAAAGTTCTTACTTCGAATCCAGACCGAGCTGCTTGCTGTCTATCAATTTGATTTTTCGTAATTTTAGACAAATCTAATGACAGTATCTGTTACGAAAGACGACGAATATTAATATGGCTGTCTTCTAGGATGATACGCCATGCAATGAGTTAGATTTTGACCAATGTTTCAGAGGAGTTAGCTGCCTCCATCATCAGGGTGTTGATAGTATATATATATAGTTATATTACGCCACATACATCCTTTAAATTTTATATTTTCTCACAATCGATCATGTTTCTATCCCAGTCGATCATGTTTCTATCCCAGTCGATCATGCTGAGTTTAAACAGCGTATTTACATAACCTCAAACATTATAAAACGTATAAATTAAGCGTAATTAAGTAAAATAATGAAAAAATCTCTAGCATACAAGCAAAAACAGCTTTTCAACAATCAAAATCATTGTCAACAATCCCCCCCCCCTCTAAGTTAAAAATCTGGAAATCAACAAACCGTGAAACGTCATAATGAAAATGTGTATCACCGGAAGTGATAACAATGGGGTGTGCCATATGCGCTGTTTCTCAGGCAGGTGGTGTGGGATATGGCTACCCTTATTGTTCCTTTCCATTAGAAGTCCTTCGTGACGGGGCATATTTGTGGTTGCCCTGTTTCTGTTCGCAGTAATCATGTTACGAAACGGAAGGGGGAAACAGCATATGTCAGCAGACTAATAAGATCGAATTCTATCGTAACATATATTCTCCCAGTAATAACAATTGTATAAACATTTTCCAATTTTTTTTCCTTACGATTCTGCATAATCCACTCGCCTTTAGATTCATTCGTATCATATATACGTAAATCGTAGCCAAGGTGGTCTAGCGGTTAGAACGCTGGCCTTGTAATCCTGGGGTCTCGGGTTCGATTCCCGGCGGTGCCCGAATTTATAACTTGTGTTGAAGTTGTTGTTGCAAAAATATTCGCTCTGTATGTATCACTGTGCGGCCAGAAAATATTTGTTTTATTTTTTGTTTCCTTAAATGTTCATCGTACTTAAAAATTATTTAAGCAAATATTAATTTATTCTACGTTTAATATTGTACAACTTCTTTGTGCATAACCTGTTCCTTTCTTTTTTTCAGAACACTGAATTTACATAAATAAAGTTAAATTTATGTTTGATGTAAATAAGATAGGAGTTATATTGAGCTAATAAAAACCAAAATTAAATTCGTGCAACTTTTAGTGTAGACTGTTAATATCGGATTTAATCCAAATTTATTCAACAGTTTTGAGATAAAATATAATCAACAGCGGACGTAGACATCTTCGCTGTAGTTAATTTATTTCGTACAAAAACCTCACAGAAACTATAACAAGGTGTTCCAATGTCACGTGCCCCAGTCCCAGACATCATGAAACGTACCTTTTTTTTAATTAGTTGATTAGGGAACTCAAATTTACCACCAGCCTACTTCATTTATGAATATCTGTAACAGAATACTATTTTCAAAGTCATCGATGTCATGGATTCCAATTCCAGACAACATAAAATGTCTTTCCTTTTTTTTTTGGCATTTGTTGATTAAGGGACTCAAATCTGCCACCAGAATTTAATTTATAAATATCTGTAATATAAATTACCCAAAGGTTCATTTCGTACGTATAAAATAGCATATTTGTCATCCGTCAGCCAGTGTATTTATTAGTCATGCACCTGATTGGCTGTCTTAGTTTACTCAGATGGTCGCTGTCAAACGTCTTCGTGATCTGTCCATGAGGCCAGTATTGTTTCTGGGGAAGGATTTGCATGGTCGATTGTTTGCCCACCAGATGGCAAGACTGTCACTCCTCCCAAACCAGTGCCTCACTAAGCGGCAGTTTAGGTCCTCCAGGAGTGTAATTACGGTTTCTGTAATTTATTTATGCAAGACGATGAATAAGTGACGAGCTCCAGGCAATGAATAGTTCACGTCTTCCTGTCCCACTGCCACGTGAACAGGAAAGACAGAATATGACCAGCAGAAATGATAGATCCGGCAGGCATGCATCCAGCGCCATCTAAACGCGTCTGTTTCAGGCGCTACTGTGACATGTGGCTAAGAGACCGGAACTTCATTCCTTTTCATCCTTCGTTCTTATTATTTTTCTTTCATTATTCACCTCTTTCTTCATAAATTTGTTCTTTCGTTTGTTCTTTCTTCATGGTCTACCATTCCTCAATTCTTTTTTCGTCATTTCTTGCCTTCTTTCCTAATGTCGTCCCTAACCTAACTTCTTGTTTGTTTTTATTCATTACCTTATCCCAGACCGATTTTAAAAATTTAGTAATCAACCACCGGCTTTAAAAGCTTCCCAGATTTCTGCAACGTGAACGAATGACGTCACTGTCTAGCAACTAACTGCTTTAATGTGAAATTTCTGATTCTCAAGGACGATCAGGTTAGTGTAACGGTAACGCTGTAGACTTCTATTCAAGGGATAGTCGGTTCGAATTCCAACCGGTGCCTTTGTTTTCAATGCTAAACGCACCAGGAACAATTCTGTTGCAAAATGTGATGAATTTATATTCTCAGTTTGCACAGAAATCAACTATCCTATATTTCTGTAACTTCTTGAAGAATTATTTGCGTGAGCAAGGACTTTAATGAAATTTCAAAACACAATATTGGAATATAAGTAGAACAAAGCGATTAGGAGATTTACCTGTATTTCGCTATTCCGTGGTTGCAATAATTCTTGAACGAACTGTACCCCAGCCAGTAACACAATTTCCTTACATAGATGGCATTCTGATTCACAGACTAATTATAATTAATAACTTTAAAAATTAACACAGGAAAAAAGGTTTCAGGTAAATTAATGCCATAAGGGGAAATTTTAAGGTAACTTAATATTCTGCATATTGGTTGCACTAACGACAAGAACCAATCATATGGCCCGTATAAACAAACCAGTTTAACACGTTAGCATTTACCTATGAATGTGTGCTTTCTGAAAGTTTGGAGTAGAAATGTTACACATGCAGCTAGTTATCCTATGAGCATTTACAATTTACAGTTTATTATAGGCTAAGTCTCTGGGTAAAATGACGTACTTAACCTCTTCTTGTGAACTCCTGTTGTGGTTAGCAATTAAGATCACAGAACATGTAATTTTACCATGAGGGGCTAAACAGAACACAATAAAAGTAGCACCTTCTTATTAATAAAGAAAGTAAATACCCATTCGAATAATCAAGTTCAAAATATAGTATAAGTTAACTTCTGCCAAAGGAAAATAGTGCGTGCTGTTATGTCTGTGTACGTACTTCACATACAGATTTAGTATGTCGTTTAACCCAACGATGGCTGGAATTGTTTTCGAAATCATAATTCAAAAGACACAAGAAGCTTGATTGAAGCATAAAGTTTTACGGCTTACGCCCCAAAGTCTTCACTGGACATCTGTTTCAGTAAACTGATCACAAATCTTAAACTCCCACTGTAACTATGAGAAACACCAAAAAAACATACTTTTGCACACAAAGTTGATAAAACCGCGCTCGATCAACACGCCATCTTTTATTGGAGTAAAAAACATACTTTTGCACACAAAGTTGTTAAAACCGCGCTCGAGCAACACGCCATCTTTTATTGGAGCTGTGGCAGCACATTCAATCTAACGGCGCAACATTTAAAATAATTTGATGAATGCATTTGTCGGTAACAGAGGTCTGTCATTTTTTCCCAGTCTTTTATATTTTCTGGTGAGATTTTCATTATTTTAGTTTTCGAGTTGTGATTCTTGGAACGATAGAAGTAAAACGCTGAAACCAATAGAAAAACAAAAGTCCATCGCTTGCAAACCAAAGTAACATCGAACACCATCTTGCGGGGAACGTGAGAATACACGCGAGAATAGTTGATCGACCATGGACTACTCGTTTCACGGCGCGCGTCTTCATTTGAAAGGGTTGTGTGAATAACGTGTTGTTAGGCTTTATATTGTGAATATTACAAATTACGTGTTGTAGTTTTATTTGTGCATACTGAATTCCGCAAAGTGTTATTTCCTCAACGATATATATTTCATTTAGTTTGTGGTTGTTTTTGTGTGTTTCCTTACGCTATGAGACCTGACAACGTGCACTCAGTATTGCTATTTGGACCAAGAGAAATTCAGAAATCCTCATTTCTTTTTCAGGTATGCAAAACCCATTTTCCATAATTCTGTATGTTACATTCGTTTCAGTGTGTTTAGTAATAAATTGTGTTGAGAAAAATTATGATTTACACTTCAGCACGATGTTAGGTTATGTCTCTTTTTGCTTTAGGTGTGCCCACCGCCTGTCAGGCTTATATGTGAATGATTTTCCCCTCACACTGTATGCCGTTAATAAATTTTGTCAACATAAGCTAATGGTTAATGCATTTCATCTGTTATTGCATATTATCATTTGGCAATAAAATATTGAAAATTCCTTTCTAAAATGCTATAAAGGATTGTTTGAATAAGTTGTGGCGCTGGAAGCACCAGACATCACAAAACATGTCTTGAGAACCTAACCTCTCACTGAATTCTGATTCGATTGTAATTATAACTTACTTGCAGTGTGCAGTGCATTTTGCTGAGCAAGGTAGCAAAGTACTGTACATTTCATCAACTACTTTAAGTGCATTGCCACCACCAGTCCATGGTGTGTCACCACCAAGTACAGCCGCATTAAGCCACATTAGATTTATGTAAGTTTACCATATGTCAGTACAATTATAATTTTGGTAGGGGATGGGAGAATGTTCTGAGGTTATGTTTTTCTATGCTATTTCATATTACTGAATCCTGTGAATTTAGATTCCCATATTCAGTACATTAAACATGGCAGGGGGACATTTAATTTTATTACATTGTACTGCATTAGACACAGCTAAGGATTAAAGTTTTTGGATATTTTATTAAGAATTATGAGATCACCGAGATGATTATTTTTTAATGAACTTTCAGGTATCTACCAAGTTGGCAAGATCTGTTTAAGCTGTTGTTCTCCCTACATCAACACACTTGCATTCCCAGCATTATTATAGTGGATGGCTTGGATCACTATTGTAACCTTTCAGACAGTAATGTACATGACAAGAATCATGAACAGGCAATGCATGCTGCTCATGTCTGCGCTTCGTTAATAGATGCCACGTCTGCATGTGCTAGACATACCGGGAATCCAGCAGTGTTAATTGCTTCGTTCCATTGCGGTGACATAAAAATTAATCCATTGATAGACTTATTCTTTTCGAATATTATTTGGTCAGTAGAGTCAGATACTGATAATGGAGTAGTTTTGACAAATGGAGTCATTCTTCCACAACAGTCTTCTAGGACACAAATCGTGTTCAGGCCAAGGAACTGGGATGGGACATTAATCCTCCACAAGATTCTTCAGTTAATTAACAATGAAAAAATTTCAGAGAACAAGGTTAAAATTCAGGCCTGAGACATTAGTTTTAAGATAAGAGGAGAATCCCAATACATTATCAGAAAAGATAATGTAAGGTTAATACTTCCTGAGCGTGAGATTCATGTGTTGTTTTCTGTTAAAACCTTGTACTTAAGCCTATTTTATGTATTTAATTAATCACTTGTAAGCCACTGGTATACTTTGTGTAGGAAGTCTGTCAATTTGGGTGGCATAAGCTACTGATGTCCGTGAAACATTACTGGATGAAAATTAAAATGCTTAACTTACTGGACAACAGTTGCACGGCATATTATTAAATTATGAAGCCTTCTTTTCTTTAAGCTAACAGTCAAGCCTGTTAATCTAATTTCTTGATTCAATAGTATGGACAGACCAAAACATAAATAAAAAATATTAATATCTGGTATCATTTCCAAATTAAAAAAACCAACGCTTCCTAAAAATTTACTTGTTCCTTATGTCTTGTATCTGATGCGCTTAAAGAAATAAAGGGAAAGATAATGTATCTCTAAAGGTGGCGACTGACTTGTAACATTTACTCGTAATGTAACATTCGCGGCAAGCATGTTACATTACACCACAACTGGTGAGGCGCATCGAATGCTCGTTTTGAACGCTCGGCTCGACTTTGCTCATGTGTGCTCCATTCATTTCATTCAATATGTCGGA